CATGCCTGTAATCCCAGCTACTCAGGATGCTGAGGCAGGAGACTCGCTTGAACCCAGGAGGCAGAGGTTGCGGTGAGCTGAGGTCGTGCCATTGCACTCCAGCCTAGACAATAAGAGGGGAACTCTGTCTCAAGAAAAAAAAAAAAAAAGTTGGATTTGTACCTGGAACCAAGTGAAACTGAAGTCTCAGGTCTTCTGCGGTCAAGTTCAATGTCCTTCCACACTGACCACCTCCCAGCTCTGTTTTACTTCTTACTGCATTAGGAGGCATCCTGAGAAATGAAGAGGTGGTTTTGAATATTGCTATCAAATAAAGCTTTTTTAAATTGGCCATTCTTGGAATTTTGTTCCATAGGGAATGTTTGATAGGGTTTTAATTCCTATTTGTTTGTAGTTCAGGTAATAGAGGTTCTTTTAAAAAGGGAAGAAAAAAAATAGCTGTGTGAAATGTGCTAAAGTGCTTGCATGCACTATGTTGCTTTGTTTGATAACCTTTGGTAGAAGAGCTGGCATTTGTCAAAGCTGAAAACGTTGGCTTCTGCTCTGCAAGAGATTTCCAGCTCCCATTCTTAATGTGGGAGGTACCTGCAGGTACTCACCTGCCACCACACTCAGCATGATGATTTTCTACTGTGAGACATTTTCCATGTCCTTTTAAAAGAATTTTAATATGTAAGGGCAGGAAAACAAGGTGAACTGTATGAATTAGGTGAACTACATGAGCTGGGCTCACTCCTTTGCCTCAGCACTTTTATTGTTGTTGTAAAGTTTGTTTTTCCTGGTCCTAGATATCTGAGAGAAGTCAGCCTTTCCAAGCAAACCAATTATTGATTCATTATATATAAGAATTTAGCCTTTTGTGTGTCTCTGCCTATTATTAATAAGCTTTTTATTTTGAAGGCTGGTTGTGGTGACTCACACCTGTAATCTCAGCACTTTGGGAAGCCAAGGCGGGTGGATCACCTGAGGTCAGGAGTTCGAGACCAGCCTGATCAACATGATGAAATGCCATCTCTACTAAAAATACAAAAATCACCTGGACATGATGGTGTGTGCCTGTAATCCCAGCTGGTTGGGAGGCTAAGACAGGCAGCTTGAACCTGGGAGGTGGCGATGGCAGTGAGCCGAGATAGCGTCACTGTACTCCAGCCTGGGTGACAGAGTGAGACTCTCAAATAAACAAATAAATAAATAAACTTTTTATTTTGAGATAATATAGAGTCACATGTAGTTGTAAGAAATAATGCTTCTATGAACGTAAGCCTTCATTTCTCTGGCATAAATGCCCAGGATTCCAGTTGCTGAGTCATGTGGTAGTTGCATGTTTTATTTTTAAGAACCTGCCAAACTACTTTCCAGAGTAGCTATCCCATTTTACATTTCTGCCAGCAGTCTATAAGAGATCCCCTTTCTCCACAGCCTCATCTTCACTTGGGGCTGTCACTATTTTTAAAGCAACACAGTGTTCTATAGCCCGTCTCGGCGTGCAGCAGAGTTACCTCCCTGTAATTTCCAGCTGCATTTCCCTAGTGACTTGTGATCCTGAGCATCTTTTTATGTGTTTATTTTCCATTCATAGATCCTCTTCATGTCTTTTGCCCATTTTCTAATTGGATCGTTTATTTTACTGTTTAGTTTTGAGAATTTCTTATATATTCTATTTTTTGGATATATATTTTTCAAATATTTTCTCCCAGTCTGTAGCTTGTTTTTCATCTTTTTAACAGGGATGTTTGCAGAGCAAAAGTTTTTAATTTCCAGTGTATCAGTTGTTTATTTTGTGGATTGTGCTTTTGGTATTAAGTCTAAGATCTCTTTGCCTAGCCCTAGATCCTGAGGATTTTCTCCTTTGACTTTCTAAAAGTTTCATACTTTTATGTTTTGCATTTAAGGCTATAGTCTATTTTGAGTTAAATTTTGAATAAGGTAGGAGACCTGGATTGAGGTTCACTGTTTTTGATCTCTAATTGCTCCAATAAGGCTGTTCCTCCTTCACTGAATTGCTTTTATACCTTTGCCAAAAACCAGTTGGCCATATTTGTACTGGTCTATGAGCGGCTCTCTGTTCTGTCCGCTTGTGATCTGCTTGTCTGCCTCTTTCCAACACTGTCCTGTCCTGATGACTGGAGATTTATAGTAAATGCTGAGATCAGCTAGGCTGATGACTCCCATTTTGGTCTTTTTCTGTGGTGGCTACCTGAAAGTCTTTCTACGACAATTCTACCATCTGTGTCATCTCCGAGTTGGCATCTGTTGATTGTTTGCTTTCATTTAGTTTGTTATCTTCTGTTTCTCTGTGTGACAAGTGGTTTTTTATTGGAACCTGTTCATGTGATATTCTGAGACTCTAAGTCTTACTCAAACCTTCCATTTTAGCTGACTTTCTCATACACCGCTGTGTCAGAGGAAGCGGGGATGCCGTCTCATTACTGCTGGATGGGGGCTAAGTTCAAGTTCCCCACTGGGGCCCCCAGATACCTCTCTGTTGTGAGAGGGCCTCATTACTGCTCCATTTGGAGCCTGCACTGGCAGCACGGGGTAGCCTTATTTCCACCAGGTGTGATGGAAGTCCAGGTTCCCACACAGTCTTCCATGACTCTGGATTGTGATGTGGGAAGGGAAGCGGTTGTTAGTGCCTGGTGGGAATGAAAATTGTGGCTCACCACTCAGCCTTGTCTGACACCACCCCAACAAGGGGACTCTGGGGTCATCCTTACAGCCTGGCATGGGTGGGGCATGGTCAAGGTTTTTTCTCTTGTGTTTGGCTGGAATAAAGCAATTCTTGTCTAAAAAGTTTTGTCTTGCTGGGCTACCTCTTTCCTGGTCCTTTGGCCAGAGAGAGCTGCTTTCATTGAGGCTTTTTTGTGTTTTGTTTTTCCCTGTGCCTACTGATGTTTCTGGATTCTGGCTTTTTCAGCTCTATTTTGGGAAAATGAGCCAAAAGTAAAATGCAGGGTTGCTTCTCAGGTCCAGAGGCCCCCCTGGCTTGTCAGCTTTCAGTACATTTCTCAGTCTTTTTATGTGTGTTTTATGTGTAATATCCAAGGTTTTTAGATGTATTTAACGGGAGGAAGAAAGAGAAGGACTCCATCTTCCCACTGAGGAAGTTCCTTTGCCTATTTAAAACCAGTTTGAGCCAATAAGAACAGAGCTATTTGGACAGGCTTATTTGTTGTTTCTCCAGTTTATAGTTTGGGTTTTCAGAAGCACCTTGCGGTCGCTTTGCCTGTATAATCTCAGTGTCCTCACCCACTCTGTCTGTTTTCCCGTCTTCATGGTATGCCCGGCCAGACCTCTGATCCAAAGCTCAGTTTAGTGAGCATGTCCCCATTTTTCTGGCCTGATCCCTCCAGCCAGGAGGCTCCTGGGAGTACCACTGAGGGCTTCTGCCCTGCCTGCAGGAGTCTTGCCCTCTGTGCCTACATCTTACCTCCCATCCTAGACCTCAACCCAGTCACTTTGTAGCCGTCCTTCCATAATGGAAATATTAAGAACATTTACAAATACAGAATTGTGTCATGAACGCTGCATGCCCATCACCACCATCAGTAATTACCAGCCAGGGCTCATTGGTTGGTTTCATCTACACCTCATCTGTTTCTCACCACACTGAATTCTTTTGAAGTAAATCCTAGATAGTGTCCTTTCATTTGTAAAGTGAATGTATGTGTATATGTCACTAAAAGAGAACTACCATTTCTACACCTAAAATAATTCATTGTAATTTCTTAATGTAATCAGCTATTCAGGCAATATTTACGTTTAAATTTCAGAATCTGATTTAGGTTCTTGTATCTGGCACAAGTGCTTTGCACGTAATAGATTCTCAGAAAATATATTTTGAAATAATTAATGACTGTAAAATAGTAATACTTTTTAAACTATCTGGGAAACTTTCTTGATTAAAGGATTCTAAAAATAAACTCATTTAACTTTTAGAAACAAATTTGCCTGAAATATAGTGAGCTTGAAAGTTGTTGACAAATGATTTCATAAAAAACTGTATATGTAATATATAGTTTTAGATATATAATATTTGATATAGATATATAAGATACATGCGTGTTTTAGTACATTTTAGTCATTCTGAGAGAAATGAATTTGCCTTTTGGTGATTTGTAATATGTTTTATTTGTATACAAAGTAACATGTGGTTATAATATTTGCAAATCTTCTTTTTCCTCGATTGCAATTTGATGATATTCTTTGTTATAGATCATGTATTAATACAGTCTTACAAAGTCTACCTAAAATATTTAAAAAGAGGAAACTCTTAAATTTATTAATAACTAGAAATTGTGATACTTGTTCTTTGAGGATTTCCTGTGGTTTCTCCTGCCAACAAAAATAGTACTTACATGTAGCTAGGAAATTAGATTGAATTTTAAGAGTGATATGCACTTGAATTTTGTCTGCATGAGGAGCTATTCAAGGTGAGAGAAAAGTAGCTAAGTGAGAAGCTGTGAGTGCTGGTTCTGCTGTGTGGCTTTAGTTTACAGCTGGAAGCCAAAAGTCTACCCAGACTAAAGGTAGATGACAAATATGTGACCGCCCTTCTGAGGCCTGTTGTCATCTGTTGTGGTGTGTTGTGTCCTTATTCCTCCTGCATCAAACGTCTTTCCAGGGTGCAGGCATCAGTGCCTTTGTCCCTAGTTCAGCTCTCTTCATGGCCCTCCATTGCCCGGAATCAAACTACCCTCCTCAGAGTGGTGCGAGGTCTCTGGGCACTGGCCCTAAACCTCCCTTGCTGGGACCAGGTCCTACCCTTGTCGTCCTTCCATGTGGGAGAATCCACGCCAGAAGTCCTTTGCTGTACTGGAAGCTGCCAAGGAGGAGTGTTTTGTACCAGATGGCAGATCTGACTTCTCTAACAAGACCTAGTTCTTATTTTATGATTTCTTCCTTTAATTTGTAATGATGTCGTAATTATTTCCTTAGAGTAGACTTCATATTACTCATATCATAGGTGCACTAAATGTTATATTCTTACTGTCTTTCAGACAGAAACAGTCTCCGCCAGTCAAGAAACCCTCAAAAGTATTTTGCCATGGATATAGAAGATGAAGAAAACATGAGTAAGATCTAGGCCTATCACATAGTATCAGATAGCTAATTTTATGTTAACATTTTGGTATTTTTGTAAATTTATTTCGTGAGACCAATGTGGAGAATGTGCTTATTCCCATATTCTGCTCTTCTGACAGTGGCATGTTTTTAAATTTTGGTATGTTCTCTGCAGTAGGTGTCCGTATTTGCTGCAGACATCTTCCCTGCAGCTGTATGTCTGGGTTTTTCCTTCCTTGTTATCATCATGGGGCATCACTGTTCCCCCTGGAATAGACTTCTGGGTACATCTCATGAAGCCCCACCGTTTCATGTGGAGTCATGTCATGGCGCGCCTCTCAGAATAATGCTCTGAATCTTCACACATGCAAATTGAAGATAAATGTCTGAGGTTGATTTAAGTACCTAGTCCTCTGCAATAACAGTACAGAAATATTTCCCTTCAAATCCAGTGGGTTCTCCTTGCATTTTGAGGGAAGGGGGTTCACTTGTGTCTGTTGATCTAAAGTTCCCAAAGGTGCTAATGAGAACTGGGACTGGTGTGGGCCTCCTCCTTCCATGCTGTTCTCTCTGGGGCTGGGGGGTTGGGGGGGGGCTGAGGGGAAAGTCTCTGGGGTATATCAGCATTTCCTCTCTGTGTTTTCTTCTATAAAAAGCTCGGTGAAGGTACTTGTCTCTTCTAGTTCATCTTCAGTCCCAGAAAACAGGTTTAAATGCTTCCACAGAAGTTGGGTGAGTTTAGCAGAGAAATTACAACAAAGGCATCATTGCTGTAACTAATATAAATATCCATATTTACCTTCTTGTCTCAAGGAATAACGTGCAGCTCTAAATGATGAGTGACATGTCACTGAGAGGGATTATTGAGCATTAGAACTTAGCTCAGCACCTTTCCCTTTGACTTCACACAAAACAGATGATCTGGGGTCTTGGAATTGCTCTTGTGTACCGCGTAGAACCCAAACCATGACCCAGTGAAGTGTTTCTGCGTGGTATTGCCGCCCTGTGGGTGTGCTGTGGGTGCTGTGGAGGGGGCTGGGCCTCTGCTCTGCGGACAGTACACTAAGTGTTGGCTTTGCCTGAAGTCAGCCGTCTGGGGTGTGAGGGTGAGACCACCTCCTGCAGCGCTGCCCGGGAACCATGGGACCCATGTGCTCACCTCACTTCTGCTGATGTGTGCACAGCCCGGGGCTGCTGGTGATTGTTTTTCAGGTTTTCTTTCTCATTGATCCTGCTCTTCAGATCTTTTAAAAAGCCAGCTTTATGTTTTTACTGGGCAACTCAACTCACTATTTCCAATTTTGCCGCAACTTTTAAGAGAGAGGTTTTGCCCATACTCCTCATTTGAGAAAATGTGGCCTGTGCTTGGACCGCACAGTAGCCCAGCGAAGGAGTGTGTGCCGGGGTCCCCGGAATCTCTGTGTCAGAACTGTGGCCTGTAGCCCACAACTGCAGCCACCTCACATAGATAGAGGCTTCTTGATTGTGTAGCTTCTAGAACTATCCCCAAACTGACTCTGTGATAACTTAACATGATGAAGAAACCTCCCAAATAATTTTTCTGGAAACTCATGGTCTAGTGCTAAAACTTGGAAATGGTGGTCCTGCATTTTTTGTCATTTTGAAGGCAAAGCCCTATTATGATCAGTATTCACATCTATGAAATGCAGTAGCATGAGACCGAACGAGAAGGCATCGGTTTAAGAAGAGTTGTGAATGTGGGCATCTTTCTGTAGTTTTAGTGTTTTCCTTTATTATAGTAGCATTTCCACTGACAATGAGAGTAATTTCAGTATAGTCCTGAAGTGAATAACAATTTAGAATGTATGTGATCTGTGTTAACCAAAAGTATATTCTTCTCAAGATTGTCAGTCCAATAGTAATTTTTATTTCTGAAAGGAAAGCATTTGGTTATTTCAGAGGTTATATTTGATTAAATGCATGTCCAAATACATTTATAATGATTTGATTTTTGATATTGATAATTGTTTAGCAACAAAGTCAAAATGTAAGCAGTAATCTAGTATGTCATGTTCTTGCTCAGTTTATTAATCTCTGAATTCCATCTTGACTCTACTTTTTTTTGAACCTTTTGTTCCCTTTGAGCACCGAAAGGAGTAACCTATCGAGCTTTTGCTGGAGGATGTTATAAATGAAAATTTAATGTCCATTCCATCAGCTTTGTCAACTGGGAGAAGTGGTGTGTGTGTGTGTGAGGATCATTTTGGAGAAATTATATCTGTAGAGGAAGTTTTAAATCTCTTAGTCTCTGCCACAGAGTGGCATCAGTTTTCCCATGGGTTTTGTCTAAACCAGGTTTTTATGCTCTACTGTCTTGGCTGAATGATGACAGCCCTGGAATTAGAGATGTTTAACTGCAAAGACTGGCAGCCAAGGGCTAGGACTTGGTCCCTTTAAACCTTCCCATGGATGAAGCTGATGAACATTTTCACAACTTTTTCAGTTTGCTTAACATATTGAGAATCTACGTTTATACGTGTAGTAGAAATAGGCCCTAAAGCCACCATATGGGGCACTTGTAAATTGGTTTACAATTTTAGCAATATTTTGGTTACTTAAAAGATTTTTTATAGATTTTTGAAAATTAGTGGTAGGGGTCTTTAACTTTAATTCACATTGCAACCTTGCAGGGCACTGTGGCCCTCACCCCTGGCTCCATGTGACAGCTGCCCAGCCATGATGGAAAGGAATTGTTTATTCGTCTCCTTTTTAAAAGCTTGATGAACACTTTTTATTCTTCTTTTTAAAATAAAAAAATTATGTTTATTTTGCCATGTAATTTTAGAATTCTAAAATTATATTAATTTGAAATCTAAAATATCTTTAAAAGGATAAACAAATTATTCTGGAAATTCATCAGATAATTCTTTTAAAAAAGACAAAATCAACAGAGGGTGTATTTATGAAGTTAGGAAGTTGTAGCCTGCATACAGCTGCAATTTTATAGCTTGTGTTTGTATACTTTTCCTCTCATGGAATGGTATTAAGGATTCAGATTTAATCAGCCCACATATATAATGTTATCATTTTTAAATAGACACTAGAAATAAAACCATATCCTCCAAACACAACAACTAAATAGCCATAATACTTTACCCAATTACATAAGCAGCTTTTAAACATTGGTTCATAAACTAAATCAAATAATTGCATATATTGATTGAATATTTCAAACCTGAAAAATTAATTATCTTGTGAATACATGTTTTTAAATAGTTTTTGCTTCTGAGAGACACTGCAATTTAAAACCCTTAGCACGAGGGTAAAGAACAGTGAAAAGGAGGAAATTACTAAACTAAATATACATTTATCCATGTATTGATATTAAATTGTCATTTCATTAGACTCGTTAATGTAAGGTCTTTCTGGATTAATTTATTATCCCACAGTTTGATAAGACTGAAAAAGTATCTCTAGATACTTCAGTATATTCTCAGAAAAAAAATTATTCGAAGATTTTACTTTTTAAAGCAAAAGCAGTTGGTGACACTAAATAGAAATGGCAAAGTGTCAAATTACTTGTTTAGTTGAGGCCAGTAGTTCTTTAGCTAAATGTATAACTCTTCATGAATATATCCAGGAATAAAATTTATAAGCACACATCACTTAACCAGTTACAAAGAGAGCTAAAGGAATCTATAAATTTTGCATTTACAAGATCCTGCAACGAAGGCGTTGTAAGTTACTCTTTCTGGGCACCGCAGGTTCCAGCAGCACTGATGTTAAGGAAAACCGCAATCTGGACAACGTGTCCCCCAAAGATGGTGGCGTGCCTGGGACTGGCGAGGGCTCTCAGCTCTCCAATGGGGGTGGTGGTGGCCCCAGCAGAAAGCGGCCCCTGGAGGAGGGCAGCAATGGCCACTCCAAATACCGCCTGAAGAGAAGGAGGAAAACACCAGGGCCCGTCCTGCCCAAGAACGCCCTGATGCAGCTGAATGAGATCAAGCCTGGCTTGCAATACATGCTCCTGTCCCAGACGGGGCCCGTGCACGCGCCTTTGTTTGTCATGTCTGTGGAAGTGAATGGCCAGGTTTTTGAGGGCTCTGGTCCCACAAAGAAAAAGGCAAAACTCCATGCTGCTGAGAAGGCTTTGAGGTCTTTCGTTCAATTTCCTAATGCCTCTGAGGCCCACCTGGCCATGGGGAGGACCCTGTCTGTCAACACGGACTTTACATCTGACCAGGCCGACTTCCCTGACACGCTCTTCAATGGTTTTGAAACTCCTGACAAGGTGGAGCCTCCCTTTTATGTGGGCTCCAACGGGGATGACTCCTTCAGTTCCAGCGGGGACCTCAGCTTGTCAGCCTCCCCTGTGCCTGCCAGCCTCGCCCAGCCTCCTCTTCCTGTCCCACCACCGTTCCCACCCCCAAGTGGGAAGAATCCCGTGATGATCTTGAATGAACTTCGTCCAGGGCTCAAGTATGACTTCCTCTCCGAGAGTGGAGAGAGCCATGCCAAGAGCTTCGTCATGTCTGTGGTCGTGGATGGTCAGTTCTTTGAAGGCTCGGGGAGAAACAAGAAGCTTGCCAAGGCCCGGGCTGCACAGTCTGCCCTGGCAACCATTTTTAACTTGCGTTTGGATCAGACGCCGTCTCGCCAGCCTATTCCCAGTGAGGGTCTTCAGTTGCATTTACCGCAGGTGAGGAACTATGCTGCTGCTTGAAAGCATGTGGTCATTGCTCTTGGTAATGCTTCTAGACAGCATTTCATTTTCAGAGTTACTATTGACTTTCCACCTTGACATCACTCTGTCCCCACCAGGAGGAGTTTCTGGTAAGTCTGGCTGCTGAGGCAGCCTTTCCTTGATTTTGATGGTCACTGAGAAGCCGTCTGTATCCTAGCGTATGCTGGGTCCGTTGCAATGCAAGGCAGGACACCCGAGGCCCCGTCCACCAGGGCAGTGTTTACAACACTATCCATGACTTCCTTCCTGTGGCCCTCATCCCACAGCAAGCCTTTAGCAGGAGAGAGGGAAGATGAGCCCAGTCTTTGAAACTTTGCCCCCAGTTCAGCAGTATTTTCCTTCAAAAATCTCATCCAGGAATCTCACATTCAAGATAAGTGACACCAGCCAGTCAATAGCTGAACACCCAAGTCTGGGTCAGGATGGCAGCCTCTGGGTTCCCACATGACTGGCTGCTGGCTGTTCGCTGTTCCTAAGATGAGGAGCCCAGGGAAGCAGAGGATGAGCCAGCACAGCGGTGAGCACCTATCAGAGGGCAGGGAGGGAGGGGCCTCCAACAACTGATCTAAGGCCTGCCAGTTGCCTGGGGGTCTCTACTTTGAATTTCCTACATGAGGTCTATGAGGACTTACCCATTTGCCTGGCTGGAGGTGGGCAGCCACTCTTCCATTTAGCCTTCTCCTCCCTCCCCCAACCCAGTGAAATCAGGATGAAGGAAGGGGAAGTTCCAGGGTGGGCTCAGATTGGCTTACATGAAAGACAAAAAGTAAAGGAGAAAATAGCCTTTAGTTCTCATCTCTAAATCCTATAACTTTCTGATTATGTTTTGCTTCTCTTCTTGGAAATCCAAAATTCTTCTGGCCTATCGCAAAAATTATTATTTTGACCTTCTATTTATTCATTTATTCCTTTGTATCAGAGTCTTCTTCACTTTGAAGATAACACATATACTACATTTGCGGCTTGTATTCTCCTGGAAGAATCCAAGTATCTTATAGTTTCTTTTTTGCTGTTGGATATAATTAGAATAATCTCTGTGCAGTTGTAGTCTGAGATGCCCAGGAGTTCTGCTTTAAAGGAAGGAAAATTTTTTTTTTTTGCCTAAAGCAGCCAAATACAACATTAGTTTAAAATAATATATTCAAGATATTTCACTGATTTTTTTTAATGAACCAAATAATTGCTTCCGTTATTAACCTCTTGTCAACATTGTTCATAAGAATTATTAGTCTGTTTGTACTTTTTCAAATCAGTGGTGCTAGATCCCATGTGATTTTTTATTTTCATGGTTACTCTTTGCTAAAATATTATAGCCTGAGTTCAAAATATTGTCTGATGTGACTTGTCTTCCCTTAATATTGACAGAGTGGCATATAAGACCATTGAAATGACATCAAATGCCGTGAATCCCAGATGTCTGGGCCTTGAGAGTGTAGCCTGGGAGCACCTTAGGGGATGCAGATAGAAGCACCAGTATAGACGTCAGCCCTGCCTCCCTGGCTTGGCTGTGTGCCTGCAGTGACTTCTGTGTGGAGCAGGACCAGAGCCCCTGGCTTGGGAAGGCTAGAGGGGCGTGTGTTGGTCTCCAGCCTGAGGGGAGGGGTGCAGGTGGGCAGGGCCATCCCAGCCCCCGAGGCCACTTTCCTCTGGGCTCTGTAGGTGATGAACGCCAGGTTCTAGACCTCATGTTCAGAACCACCAGGGCATGAGGGGATGGAGCTGCACTTCTAGCCTCTGCCACGGTGGACCCTGCCACCCTTGTGTCTTTGGAGCCCCAGAGTAGCTCAGGAATGTGACATGTGTTCCTCCTAGGATGACGGTGGCCCTCCTAGAACCAGACATCCTTATGGCTTTGTTGCTGGGCTCTATTGTCTTTCAACAGGAAATTTCAAAATGTGCATTCTAGGGTGGGTGGAAAACCCTCACTCTTTCTAGAGTAATCCTTGAAGGACATAGGTCAGACATCCCTGCATGTCATTGCAGGTAAATGGTGCTGCCTGGGATTGTGTGGCATGGGTTTAACTCTTAAGAGCATGTTATTTTTGTTCTTATATCTGCCTCCCAAATTAAGAGGGGAGTCCTTCACTAACCATATAGGGTGAAACCAGTAATCCCCTCAAGGAGAGCTGAGCCCTGCCCTTGTGCCTAACGCAGGCATCAGCCTCAGCAGCAGACCTTCCACCTGAGGCTCTTGGAACTCACTCCGTAGTTTCATTTCTTTGCCTTTCTTTGAAAATTTGGAGATTCGCCTAATCTTATATGAAACAGAAACTTTTATTTCCTCTGGCTTATCCCTAATCTTCTTATGACTTTTTTTTCACCGTAAATTCAAATGCATTGCCCTTTCCCTCTGGCACGCTGGCCACGTCCTGTGTTTCTGCCACAGCCTCAGTTCGTTGCATCCACTCACGCCTGCAATGCAGATGCCACTGGCTGTGGGTGCATGAATCGTTGCCCCCAAAGCCTCTGTCCATTCTCCACGTCTTGTCTTGAACACTGTCCTCTGGGACCCACTGGTATTTTCTGGTACAATGATAAGAGAAAAACATCCTGACAGCTATCTTTTCTGTTCATTTTGGAAATATTTTATTAAGGATCAACCTGGGGATGCTGGGTTTTCCTAATGGTCATTTGATTTTCCAGGCAAGTATGATATTGATGGGACATAGGTTGAAACTGGCTCTTAACATGCACCTCCCAGCAGACATCATTTCCCCAAATGCCATGGGCTCATTATATCCAAGATAAACCAAATCCATCAGACCATGTCCGAAATCCAACAAATATGTCTGTTCTCAGAAGCACTTTCATAAAGGTGGTTGAACATATACCCATGCAGGTGTTCCGAGCGTCTAAACGCTCTCCCTTCCCGTGCTATCCTTTGGTACGTGATTATATTATATATTGTGCAGTCTGAGCGAGTGAGCAGAGCCAGAGTGCATTTGTGTGGAGAGGCTGGAATGACTGAGAAGCCCCTCATTGCCCCATTGAGGGAGGTGCTGTGCACAGCCTGTGGCTTCTTTCACTCGATCACACCTCCAAGCTGCCCCTTTCTCTTGCCTGTGACACTGCACATCACCCTGGGCTGTGCTCCCAGCCACGTGTGGCCCTGGGACTGACTAAGCCCCACCATGTGTGCATGTGAGAGAGGGCAACAGGGGTGGGAGGGCCATTCTGCATGGATGTAGGCATGGGCAGGTGGCCCTGAGCAAGCAGCCTTGTCTCTGTTTGCCTCAGTTTCCTCCTGAGGGCTGGGATGCCCCACTGTGAAGATTGGAGGGGTGTTCGTGTGTGGCGCTCACACTTTACACTGGCCCCACGTGGGTATAGTGAAGGACCCAACTAGAGCCTGGTAGGATCCTGGGATGTCTGTTTCCAAGGAATGTTCTAGAAGAAACATACACACATACTTGTTTGCCAGATTTACCTGTGTGGTTTTCCAGATAAGAAGCAGCCTGTGTCACTCCATAAGGGAGAGTCCATGCAGGCCTTCAGAGAGTGAGCCCTGCTCCCAGGTACACCTGGCCCCTAACCTGCATCTGTGCTTCCCACACAGGTTTTAGCTGATGCTGTCTCACGCCTGGTCCTGGGTAAGTTCGGTGACCTGACAGACAACTTCTCCTCCCCTCACGCTCGCAGAAAAGTGCTGGCTGGAGTTGTCATGACAACAGGTAACCATCTTGGTATTGTATGTAACTCTGCCTGTTTTCATGTCTGACAAATGTGAAGTGTTCTCAATCGAGAAAAACCACTGTGACATACCATTGGGAGACGGTTTCTTCTTTCCTTCTTCAAAATGTCTGCCATATGCAAGTTTAGGAACTGCATTTATGAACTTGTTTCCCAAAATGTTCATCTTTTTAACATAAGTTTATTTTATTTGGAGAAAGCATACTTTATTAATTTTTTATTTCCGTCCTCTTCGTCCTATGAATGGCCTCACTCTGCTCTGGAAGATGGCAGGGGGCTTACTAATTCTTGCTTTATTTGAAAGTAGGGCCTATCTATTGTATTAGTTAATGTTAACGATGCCAGATAAGTTTCTGTGTGACTTCTTCTGGGGAGGGAGAAAGCTCTAGCAAGAGTAGAAAATCTGTGGGGAAAAAAACACAATTTAGAATGATAGAAAAAACCCTATTAAATTCATCTAAAAGTTCCCAGTAGCAAAAGGCATCCCTGAATCCTTTTCCCACATCCCGGGAGTGAGAACACGCAGCAGCATCTCTCTGTGGGTAACTCCTGGAAAAGGAAACCACATCCCCGGCCAGTGCCTGGCTCCTGAGGGTGGAGCAGGACTCAGGGAGAGGACCCCTGTCATGTGGAGCCGCCTCTTTGCCCAGCATCTGCTCAGCCCAGCCTGGATAGCTGGATGCAGGGAGCAGGCCCTAGAGGTCAGGGAGGGAGCTGGGGACAGTTTCTCTGTCTACATTCACCAGCGCAGAAGAAACTCCCAGTTCTCGGTATGTGACTGTCTTGTCCTTTCTCCCTGAGGGGTCACCTCTATCAGACTCTGCAGTCCTCTTCACTGACCCACCTCTTGCTGTGCTGGGAAACCCAGCTGCTCTGCTCATGACCCTTGTTTCCTTGCCGTGCCATGGCCAGGGAGGAGGAAGTATCCAAAAAGCATTTTGGGTTTCCATTTCTATTTTAATGTTTTATGCCTGTGTTTTCTCCCCCTTCTATCTCTCTCCTTACTGCTATCTTTTACATTAATCAAAGGTGAACACCACAAGTACTGAATAGAGTAGTTCCCTAGGTAAGATTCCCTGCCTCTTCCAGTGACCTGGTGAGTGAGCTGGTTGTGTTCTTTCATCAGTTTTGCTCTATTTATTTATTTATTTATTTATTTAAACTACCTTAGAAGAGGCTGATCACCTTCTGGGAGCATTTTACACCTTAGTTTATATTTCACTTGAGACCACTTGCTCAGAGCCATAATTTATATCTGAAGCTAGGACCATGGAGCACTTGGTGAACCAGACAGTTGGTTCAGAGGCTCTCACTGGTTGAGTGGCCTTGGGCAGGTTACAAGGCCTCTGTGCCTCAATTTCCTCATCTATACAGTGGAGATACTAGTAGCATGAGCCTCAGAGGACATGGTGGGAATGCAGTGAGGACAATTTACCTAACAGACACGGTACATACCTGCTACCTGGTGTGTACACCACTGGTTCAGCTGCAGTGGATGTGAGTCTCCCCACAGGTAACTTTCAGGGTCCTTCATCATGCCTTTGTCAGTGGTTTGTCTCACAAAGTTGAGACAGAGTGATCTGCCTATGGGAGATCACCACTCCTTATGATTTCACTCCCAGTATGGTTAAATGGTGACAGTTTACTAATGAAACCATCACAAGCTAATTTTGTTTTCCTTCTTCTTCCTCTGGGTGTCATTAACCCCTCCCTCCTAGCCTCTTTAGTACTTTGATATTTCATGTCAAGATTAATTACCAGACCGGATAGTCCACCTTCCATAGTGTTGCCCACCTGTGTTCTAGTCGTGAGCACTCAAAAAGATGCTATTGCATTCCAGAGGAAATGCCTTCTGCGAGTTTAGCATCTGTGCACCAAGTAGTGAGGATGATTAGCTTTCCAGAAATGTCACAAAGCCAGTCTTCAATAGGAGGTTGTTTGTAGTGCATACATTCGCTCAGTTAAAAAGTAAGTGGTAAGAATATGCATAAAGATGAGCTTGAAAAGTCTGTTGGCCCCTAAAAAGTTAAGTCACTGAGAGTAAGTGTCATACCTCAGGAGCAGTTAGGCAAACATGACTGTGAATTATAGAAAACAATGTCTCTTTTTTTACAGGCACAGATGTTAAAGATGCCAAGGTGATAAGTGTTTCTACAGGAACAAAATGTATTAATGGTGAATACATGAGTGATCGTGGCCTTGCGTTAAATGACTGCCATGCAGAAATAATATCTCGGAGGTCCTTGCTCAGATTTCTCTATACACAACTTGAGCTTTACTTAAAGTAAGTTTAGTGAACAAATAAGAGCAGGAAACTATTTTTTAAAAATACTCTAATATTAGAAAACATTGCAAAACCTTTCATTGTTTCTGTAATCATGGAAAAACTCTCAAAATAATAACTTTAGTAACAATAAGGCTGGATCCCATTCTCTCATAATGCTCAACACACATATGCACACATACATACAATAACATAACATGGTCATAAATTTCAAGTCTGTGTTTAAAACTGTGTGATTTCGTTATATGCAGCATGAGTAGAAGTTCCTAAACTGCCAGGTAAAGATGGTCATTTTTATTCTAGTCACTGTTTCTAGAAAGAGCGAATAATGTATCCAAACTGCTTTTCTTTACAAAGCCATTTGTTGTATGTGGTCTTTCTGTTCTGAAGTCATAAATTGGGAGAAGGAAAGATTACTCACATTTTGATGACATATCCATAATTGAGTGGACAAGAACTGTATTAATTACCCTAAACATGTAAAATAAATATTCCAGTTCAAACTTATCTTTCCCCTGTTGAAAATACTAGCCTCTGAAAATAATAGACTAAACTTTAACTGGATACAGTTTTAAATGTTACTTTTGCAACTTTTTTCCTTTCAGTAACAAAGATGATCAAAAAAGATCCATTTTTCAGAAATCAGAGCGAGGAGGGTTTAGGCTGAAGGATAATGTCCAGTTTCATCTATACATCAGCACTTCTCCCTGTGGAGATGCCAGAATCTTCTCACCACATGAACCAATCCTGGAAGGTATGAGACAAGATTCTTCAACAAGCCAGTTTCTCAAGAAAATGTGTCCGTTTGTAGTTACCATTTGAAAGAACAAACCTACATTAATCTCCCTTTTCCTTTTTCTTCCTTTTAATTTTAGCCTTGGATGTGAATCTGATGAGTCTCTATAAAAGCATGGATTTTTTTCTTTCCAATTAATAACTTAATCAGAAAACTTTAATGAATTAAAAATGCTGATCGTAATTAACCAAGTAATTAGAATGGAGTGAGATATTGGATCAAAATTGTATCAGTATTTAAATTTGGGTAATAAGCATCTCTAAATCAGAGGTGTATGTGATCCTTCATATTTCTGATGAATTGCAATTTGCTAAATGTGTAATTAAAGTATTTATTTGACTGATATTTCAGAAGCAGATAGACACTAATGAAAAGTGAAATCACTATTATGATCATAATATGTTCCATCCTTCTTTACATTTGAGGTTAGCACTTTTGTTTTTTAGTATTTTATATCCACATCCCTTCTCCCAAGTTCTTAGGCATTGCTTATTCCAAATAGAATGTTTCATTATACTACTTTCCTTAATTATAAAAGCAACAGGCACACTCACTGTGGAAAGTTGCTAAATATTTTTTAAATGTAAGAAAGAACATTAAAATCACCCATATTCATGTCACCCAGAGATATTCACTATGGATGTTTTATCATACTTTCCACGTGTTTATTTCTGCATCTGTCTAGATTTATTTTTGAAATTTTAAAAACACAGAGGGAAAAGCATAACAAACACCCAAGTATCATCACCCAGAATTAGCAAATGTTAGCATTTTGTCCTATTTGCTTCAGCTCATTTTCAATGATAGAAATAAATCCTTTCAGTAAAAGTGAAAACCCTCTGTTTCCCCCAAATCCCTTGAAGACCGCTTTTGTGAATTGCTTTGTGTTATATCCTTCCTACTCAATTTTATATACTTCTTTTTTTTTTTTTTTTGAGACAGGGTCTCGCTCTGTCACTCAGGCTGGAGTGCAGTGGTGCAGTCATGGCTCACTGCAGCCTCGACCTCCTGGGCTCTTAAGAGATCCTCTCACCTCAACTTTCCCAAGGAAGGCAGCTGGGACTACAGGCATGTGCCACCATACCTGGCTAATTTTTATAGTTTTTGTAGAGATGGGGTTTCACCGTGATGTCCAGGCTGATCTTAAACTCCTGGGCTTGAGCAGTCCACCTACCTCAGCCTCCTAAAGTGCTGAGATTACAGGCGTGAGCCGCCGTGCCCAGCCTCTCTGTTTCACACATGTATGTGTATTTTGTATGTATGGCATATGTATATGCATTTATATGCACAACTATATTTTAAATTTAATAAGGAATTGTTTGATGTGCTTTTTAATAAATCAAATAGATGGCTTACTACCTGTGGGGTTTTAACTCTTTTTCTCTCTTAGAACCAGCAGATAGACACCCAAATCGTAAAGCAAGAGGACAGCTACGGACCAAAATAGAGTCTGGAGAGGGGACGATTCCAGTGCGCTCCAATGCAAGCATCCAAACGTGGGACGGGGTGCTGCAAGGGGAACGGCTGCTCACCATGTCCTGCAGTGACAAAATTGCGCGGTAAGGGGCAGGGCTCCCTGTGGCTGCCTCCCTGCACATGGGATTCACCCGTGCTGTTTGTCAACCTTCCTTTTCCACAACCATTTGGATTTTGTCCCCATTTCCCACTCAGGTGCTCCACAATATTCTTTGAAGGACTGAGGTTCTAAACAGGTGCTGCTGGGACCCTCATGAGGGGCAGAAGAAGGACCTATACATAGGAGGCTCCACACTTGTCATATTCCTATCCTTTCAAACAGGCATCTCAGAGTTTACCACCTATTTTTAACGTGGGCTTCTGGGTTAAACTGTTGTTTTTAGAGTGGGCTACAGGCCATGACATTTTAAAACTATTTGCTTCTCCTCATTAGTAGTAGATGCAACTTCAGTGGTCACATTCATCATTCAGTTAACATTTTAGGTAGTTGATACTTGCATTTTAAAAGTAATGCAAACTCTGTCACAGGTGTTGTGTTCTAAGCACAGAGAGTGTCCCCAGCCATTCTGTGTCTGGGTGTGGGTTAGGCTTAGATGCAGGCTCTGCAAGCACACTTCTCTAGTCAGGAGGTGCCTGGGAGATATACATCCCTCAGAGGCCTGTATCCACAGCATATTATAGAAAACCCACTTCTACAGATAGTATCAGTTCCAGTAGTTCTTTGTTTTTATTTTTAAACTAATATTTATTTGGGAACAAAATGTAACATAAGCAGATTGTAGAAAGCATACAATGATAAAGTTAAAAACCTCGCTCTTCAGAGCCCTGCTGTGGTACCCATAGGGAATGGGTTTTGACTGTCCATCCAGAAGCTGTCAAAATTGACATATACACATGTGCACATGCACATCTTTTCATTGTTTGCAAGCCCTTTGTGTAGATTTCCTTCAGTGGGTCTTGTCAGGAAACCTCAAGTACAGGGAACTGGACTAATCACACACTCTGGGCCATTGCCCACAGCCCAGTGACCACTGTGATGTGTTTACTTACTATTTGTCTTTCCAGTCGACCTCCACATGTGCATACGTCAACTGTGTGTGTGTGTGTGTGTGTGTGTGTGTGTGTGGTGTATTCTCGAAAAATACACAATAGAATTATTATTTTGGGTGTTTATGTATATGTTGTTAATTTACAGAAACAGTATTATGCCATAAATCCTCTCTGTTTCTTACATTTTCATTCAACCTATATTTTTGGAGCTATTGCTGTTGCTCTAACCAACAGCCAGTTCACTACTAACTTTTGCAGATCTTCCTTCATCATCAAGGGCCATTTCCTTAATGTTGGGACAATCAGATTTCCTCTAACTCCCTTCTACATGTAGCCCTGAATATCCTTCAACTTATGCAAACTCCAACATGATATTATAGACTTTGCTAGAGTTTCTTGGGGCATATATTCAGGAGTTACGCACATATATAACTTCACAGAATAATATCAGATTGCATCCCAGAGGAGTCACACTAGTTGACACTTATACCAACAGTGCATTAGTTTCTCCCATGTTTTATAAACTGATATCTTCATAGTTTCAATTTTTATTTCTCTTATCAGTAGGAATGTCGAGCATCTCTTCAATTACATATTAACTGTTCATCTTACACCTTCTTTGAGTTGTCTGTTAAATATCCTTTATTCATTTGTCTTTTGGATCTCATGTCTTTTTCCTCTTGATTTGCAGAGTTCCTTTTATAGTTTATATTGTAATCCTTAGGCCTTTGAGAAGATGCAGTTTCTTCTCTAAGTCCTTTCCTCCTTGAGTAGCCTTGTCACCCTGTTGAAGATCATTTTAATATATACACCAGGGTTTATTACTGTGCTCTGTTCTATTCCATATGTCTATTCTTTATGCCAGCATCATGCTATTTTGATTACTGTAGCTTTGTAATATGTTTTGAAATCAGGAAGTTTGAATCCTCCAACTTTATTCTTCTTTTTCAAAATTGTTCTGGCTATCCAGGGTCTCCTGAAATTTCATAAAAATTTTTGGATGAATTTTTTTCAAAAAATGCCACTGTTATTTTGATAGGGATTATGTTGACTGTATAGATTGCTTTGGTTAATATGGACATCTTAACAATATCAAGTCTTCTGACTCATGAACATGGGATATATTTCCATTTATTTGTATCTCCCTTCATTTCTTTCAGTAATGTTTTATAATTTTTTTTTGTACAAGCCATTTACCCCCTTAGTTAGGCTTATTAAGTAATTTATTCTTTTTTATGCTATTGTAAACTTTTCTTAATTCCCTTTTCAGATCATTCATTGCATTGTTAGTGCATGGAAATGCAACTGATTTTTGCATGTTGATTTTGCTGAATATGTTTATTATTTAAACATTTTTGTGGAATCTTTATGGTTTTCTACATATACAATTATGTCATCTGCAGACAGATATAATTTACTTCTTACTTTTCATTTTGGATGCCCTTTCTTTCTTTTTCATGCCTAATTACTTTGGCTAGAACTTCTAATACTGTGTTGAATAGAAGTGGCAAAAGTGGGCATCCTTGCATTGTACCTGATCTTAGAGGAACAGTTTTCAGTCTTTCACCATTGAATACAGTATTAACTGTGGGCGTTTTGTAAATGGCCTTTATTATTTTGAGTTAGCTTCCTTCTACTCCTAGTTCGTTGAGTGTGTTTGTTATTATTGTGAAAGGGTGTTAAATCTTGGCAAATGCTTTTTCCGCATCAATTGAGATTATCATGTGGTTTTTGCCCTTCATTCTGTTAATATAATGTATTATATTAATTAAGTTTCATATATTTAACCATCTTTGCATTCCAGGAGTAACTCTTACCTCATCATGATGTGTAATCCTTTTAATGTGCTGTTGAATTTGGTTTGTTGAGAATTTTTCCATCAATAGTCATCAGAGATACTGGTCTGCAGTTTTTTTATTCTTCTTTATGTCTTTGGCTTTGATATCAGGGTAATGCAGGCTTCATAGAATGAGCCTGGAAATGTTCTCTTCTCTTTAGTTTTTTGGAAGAGTTTCAGGATTAGTGTTAATTATTCTCAAATGTTTGGTAGAATTCTCTAGTGAAACCATTAGGTCCTGGGCTTTTGTATTTTTGTTTTTGAGACAGAGTCTCGCGCTGTCACCCAGGCTGGAGTGCAGTGGCATGATCTCAGCTCACTGCAACTTCCACCTCCCAGGTTCAAATGATTCTTGTGCCTCAGTCTCCCAAGTAGCTGGGGTTTCAGATGCTCACCACCACACCCAGCTAACTTTTGTGGTGTTAGTAGAGATGGAGTTTCACCATGTTGGTCAGGCTGATCTCGAGTTCCTGACCTCAGTTGATCCACCTGCCTTGGCCTCCCAAAGTGCCGGGATTATAGGCATGGGCCACTGTGCCCAGCCATGGGCTTTTCTTTATTGGGAAATTTTTTATTACTGACACAATATTCTTATCCATTAATGGTTGGAATTAATTACTTTTCAAATTCATTATTCCTGCTATCACTGGTTACCATTTGCATGGAATATCTTTTTCCATTCTTTCACTTTCAGCTTGTGTATCCTTAGATCCAAACTGAGTTTCTGATAGATAATAACACATGGTTGAATACTGTGTATTTTTTTTTTTAATCCATTGACCCAATCTGTATCTTTTGACTGGGGAGTTTATTCATTGACATTTAAAGTAATCACTGATAGGGAAGACTTACTATTGCCATTTTGTTGTTTTCTGTATGCTTGTAGCATTTTGCTTGTTTTTTCCTTATTCTCTTACTGCCTTCCTTTGTGTTTCTTTTATGATTTTTTCTAATGATAGGTGTATTAGTCTGTTTTCACACTGCTGATAAAGACATACTTGAGACTGGGCAATTTACAAAAGAAAGAAATTTAATGGACTCACAATTCCACCTAGCTGGGGAGGCCTCACAATCATGGTGGAAGGTGAAAGGCACATCTCACATGGCAGCAGACAAAAGACAGCTTGTGCAGGGAAACTTCCCTTTATAAAACTGTCACATCTCATTATACTTATTCACTATCATGAGACTAGCATGGGAAAGACCCACCCCTGATTCAATTTCCTCCCACTGGGTCCCACCAACAACACATAGGAATTGTGGGAGCTGCAGTTCAAGATGAGATTTGGGTGGGGACACAGCCAACCCATATCAATAGGATTTGTTTTTTTTGTTTTTTTTTTTCCTTTTGTCTGCCTGGGGTACAGAATCTCATTTTTTTTGTGTGTATATTCTATAGGTATTTGCTTTGTGGTTACCATTACGATTACATAACACATCTTAAAATTTATAGCATATTGTTTTAACTGAAGCTTCAATTACATAGTAAAAAATTACTTCTTTACTTCCACCCCTTCACATTTTGTTATTGATTTCACAAATTACATCTTCATATATTGTATATCCATTAATATATTGTATTTTTAATGTTTTTGTCATATAAATGTTACACACCAAAATTACAATAGTACTGGTTACTATATTTGTTCATGTCCCTCTCTTTAGAGGAGAACCTTATATTTTCATACAGCTTAATGTTGCTGTTTACTGTCTTTTTATTTCAACTTGAAGGACTCCCTGTAGCATTTCTTGTAAAGCAGGCTAGTGGTAATGTACTCCCTCTACTTTTGTTTATCTGGAAAAGTCTTAATTTCTTCTTTATTTTTGAAGGACAGTTTTGCCAGATAAAGTATTCTTGGTTGACAGGGTTACTTTTTTTTTCTTTCAGTACTTAAAATATATCATTCCACTCCTTTCTGGCTTGCAAAGTTTTTTCTGAGAAAGCCACTGATCTTATGAATGCTCCCTTGTATGTGACCAATGGCTTTTCACTTGATGCTTTTAAGATTCTCTGTCTTCACTTTAGACAGTTTGATTGCAATGTATCTTAGCGTGGTTCTCCTTGAATTTATCCATATTTCATTTATTTGAGCTTGAACTTGTATGGTCCATTTCTTTCTACAGATTTGGGAAATTTTTAGCTATTATTTCTTCAAATAGGCTCTTAGCCCTTTTCTATCCCTCTTCTCCTTCTGG